TACACTTGCCTTTACCATTAAGTATGTACTTGGTCACAAAGTAATTTCCATTTTACATATACACTTCCATAAATTAAAAGGAATGAAGTTATTATAGTTAATATATGCAAATCGTTATCAAATCGTATATTTTCCTTTTCTTCCATTACATGCGTGCGATATATATAAATATATAAACTATGTTACATGCGTTATATGCTTCTCTAATTATTTTTCCCTAGCAAATTTCAATTGAACCTAAAGCTGCCACGTCAGTTTAATTGGTATGCTAATTGATTGACAACTAAGCAAAGTTACTTTTTAATTAATACAAACTTGAGGTTACATCTTTTCAAATGTTTCTCAATTAATATATAGGGGATTACTATGTATTACTATGTTGTAAACAAAGATAATCATTTATAAAGATATAAAAAAACATAGTAATAGATGTTTAAACAAAGATAATCATTTATAAAGATAAAAAAACATGTGTTTTCAGCACTTCTTGGCTTAAACACTTAATTCTCAAGGAAGCAGCTCAGCAAGACAGAGGTGAAGGTGGTTGATCTTCTTCAACCTCACCTGCTATACCGTTACTGCAAGCTGCAGTGCCTTGGTTGGATTTTATTTCTCTCTCTCTCCCGATGTATGGGTTTTGTTTTGGCATCTATTGATGTCCCTTTGCTTGTTGCTTTTTGCCTATTTCCTCCCTCGTGAGTACTCCTTGACCTTTGGTCAAACTCTGTTGGCTTCGGCCCCAAGTTATATTTCAATGACAAAAAAAAGAATGTTACAAATAATATAAATCATATAATTGATTGAACCGTATTAATTAAATTAAACCAACATAATTAATGTAAAGACACGACCTTAATGTAAACTACTTTCAAAATACGGCAGGTATCTATGTGTATACCAAAAACACATATTTTCTTCTACAAATATGGAATGTTCTAGAAGAATATATATCATCAAAATATGGAAATCTACTAATTATACTTAAATCTACTATTTATGGAATATAGTCTTAGGCTTACTTTTATTTTCTGAACAAATTATATAGTTTGGTTTTTGGGCTTAGTATTAAGAAAAAAAATCCAAAAACATTGAATAAATTTTTCACCTTGAAAGATCAAAAAATCAATTATTATTTTCAGACTCAAAAGTTATTTAATATTTGTAACAAAACAAAATTATCTATTATTAATCATTTATTTAAATCATGTACTTTAAAACATGTTAATATTTTTTTATTTTAAATAAAAATCACTTTGTTTTGATAAATTTCAATGGTAACTTTTAAATAATTTATTGTTTTATTTTTCTTAAATAATTTACTGATTAAAAAAATGTAAAGCAAAACCAAAAACCAAATCTAAAAACTAAAATCCAAAACCAAGAGCTGAAAACACATGTTATTTTTATTTGCTTTGTTTATTTACAAAATAAACTATTTCAATTTTTTTTTAAGAAAATTTGTTATCATCTTTTCAGTTTTAAATTAGATGTTCGATTATTTGAGATTTGTTTGTTGGTAATATTAGTTCAAACTAACTCAGCGGGTTTAAAAATTAAAAACCCAAACCAAAAACTGAAAATGAAAAGTAGAAACTTAAAAACTAAAAACCAAAAACCAAAATCTAAAAATAAAACTGAAACTAAAAACTAATNATTTGAGATTTGTTTGTTGGTAATATTAGTTCAAACTAACTCAGCGGGTTTAAAAATTAAAAACCCAAACCAAAAACTGAAAATGAAAAGTAGAAACTTAAAAACTAAAAACCAAAAACCAAAATCTAAAAATAAAACTGAAACTAAAAACTAATGAAAAACAATCATCACCACAAATTTTGGTGAACTGATTTTATATCAAAATATTCTTTAAATTAAGAGAAACCCTAATTATATAAATTTTTTAATCATAAAAAATTTCCGCGCTTTCAAGCGCGGGTCAAAATCTAGTTTTGAATAATTTTCAGTGGTTCGGCTGATTTTGAATATTGGATACAACTCAATCTAAACTAAACCCGTGAAAAAACAACCAGATTCGATCTAAAAATTAGGAAAAACTTTTTTTTTTTTGAACAAACATAGATTTATAAATCAAAGTCTTACACCTCCACAAGTGGGGAGGATACAATAATAGAGGCTAAAGCCCATTTAGCGACAGAGTCGGCATCACGGTTTTGCAAACGAGGAACAAAGGTGAAAGAGATAGAATCAAAGTAGGTACTGAAATGATAAACATCAAACAAAATACTAAACAAAGCTGGTTTTGATTCTCTTCCTTTCAAAGGGAGAGTGAATCAGACAGAATCATAAGGGATTTAACATTTGAAAATGCAGCCGTCATAACTGCCAAACGAACAGCGAGGGCCTCAGCCATCAACGCTGATGATATAGAACTTCGAGTTTAAGAGAGAGTAAAGAGAGTAGACACAGAGGATCCCTCGCAAATAATTCCCAAACCACAAGACCCAATTGAAGAGTTCCACGCAGCATCAACATGATAAATTGCAATGGAGGACTGTGGTCTTACCAGCGGAAAGTATTGACATGGGGTAGAGATCAGACCATTGTCTGGAGGGTAAATCAAAAAATGGTGGTAAATCAAAAATAATGCGGTGAGAGTGGATCGAAAAATTAGGAAAACCTATATAAAACCTTTGAACATGGTAGGGTAAATCGAAAAATCCAACTCAAATTTGAACCCAAACGCTTAAACATCCTCACAAGCACAACATGTTTAAAGAAATACGTAATTTAAAAATAAAAAATAATGTGCAAATAATTCCCAAACCACAAGACCCAGTTGAAGAGTTCCACACAGCATCAACATGATAAGTTGCAATGGAGGACTGGTCTTACCAGCGGAAAGTGTTGACATGGGGTAGAGATCACTAGATCAGACCATTGTCTGGAGGATAAATCGAAAAATGGTAGGGTAACTCGAAAAATAATGCGGTGAGCGTGGATCGAAAAATTAGGAAAACCTATATGAAATTTTTGAACATGGCCGGTAAGGTAAATCGAAAAATCCAACTCAAATTTGAACCCAAACGCTTAAGCATCCTCACAAGCACAACATGTTTAAAGAAAGACGTAATTTAAAAGTAAAAAATAATGCGGTGAGCGTGGATCGAACACGCGACCTTCAGATCTTCAGTCTGACGCTCTCCCAACTGAGCTATCCCCGCGATGACATTAAAATGCAAACAATGTATATAAGCCAAATACTACAAAGCACAACAACATAGATGAAGAAAACGGGTAACCCTAATGGACACCAGTTTACTTATCTTTTGTGAAATGTTAGGCAAAATGCTTTATCATAGACAAACGAAATGAGATGTTTTTGAAACTGTCATAGAATCTCATTAGTGCTGGTTTGCTAAGTAAAATTACAAATTTTGAAAAGAATCCTCAATACAAGTAAGGCCAATTATAGCTTATTACTTTGTTTTCTTTATATTTGTGTGAGATTTTGCAACAATGTATCCAAATAATCATTTCTGACCAAAAAGGTTCCAAAATCTCCATGACTAAAAAGAACCAAATCTTCACGAGCTCAAATCAATATACAAAACTTAAACATCTCATCGTTGTTAGATTAATAATTAGCTCGTTTTGTAGCGTTACAATAAGTCACCAATGTGATAAGATAAACTATGTTTTTTATTTTGGTCAAAAGTATCATGAAAGATGATGATATACGTGCAAAACACACTGGGGATGGAGGTTACATCTTTAGTTAGTAATGAAAAGAACTTTATATATTGTTCGTCGATTTTCCAATGTGAACGATTGAAAGTCTACATAAAATTTACTAGTAAACAACCAATAAATAGAATTGATGTTGTTTTCAAGAAAAGATTTCAAAGCAAAATGCAGAATCTGTTTAACCTTTGAAAGCATGAAATTCACCTTAGAATATTTTGGACCAGGACTTTTGAAATTATCAGAAAATTTTAAACAAAAGCATTAGATATAGCTATTGAGAAAAAATGAATTCATGAATAAATCGAAACACTAACTAAACGCAAAAGGTAGCACTTCAATCTTCAAAAGACAAAATAATAAGAGAGAGAGAGAAGAGAATAAGGTGAAGAAATGACTCAAATAGTTATGACAATATTAATAATTTAAAACTGAAAAACTCAAAGTGAAGAAGATGAACCACGACCCGAACTCTTAGCTTCAGCTTCTTCCCGGCTGATCCGCATCATGATTTTTCTCCTTTAAGGAACTAGAGCTCGGAACATCTTCATCATTAGGAAGACTGGTGACTGGACAAGGAGGAGGAACGTTTCTAGTGACTCTAGCAAGCGGGTTAGTGCTGTAAAAATGATTACGAGACGCAATAGGACGCAGTGGCATGTTCAGGTCCATGCTTCCTCCTCCAGTGACTCCAGCTTTCAAAGATGGATGCACGCTGCTGTTGTTATTGTTGCTGCCTCCCATCCACTTAGATGGACCAAGAGTGAGCTCAAGTGATATTTCACCTTGTGAGCTACTGTTGTTGTTGTTGCTACAGCTTCCTAAGGTATTGCTAGGGTTCATAATTGTTGAATCACGTGGGCCACTGCTAGGGTTCACTATGAAAGGACGGTATGGAGTCGCAGGAGTAGGAGCCATGGTGAATCCACCATTGACCAACGATGGGTAGTTACTGTTACTACCTCCTCCATTACGCATAAAAGGATCAAAATAGAGACCACTGCGGTTATTATCTGATAAATTTGAGCGGTAATAGTTGTGTGTGACTAAAGGAAAACCATAGTTAGTCTTCCCGTATGGAGGAGCCGAAGGATAACCCATGACCTCGTCCATGTTTCTGACGCTACCAGGAGAGATCCCAAGACGCTTATGATCATTTGATAAAGTATCTTGTGAAGACCCACCAACGTCCACCGAGTTAGACATACCTTGGTAAGAGTTATCAGGCTTCTTCTTCCGAAAGCATTGTCCATGAGAGTGGCTTGGATCCACATGCTTCATCTTCCACTCCAACTCTAGATCATGCTTGTGGGTTTTTTGGTGACTGCATAGGGAATGAGCGTTTGGGAACCCTCTCTTGCAAATGTTGCAAATAAGGGCATGATTATTCAGTGATGGATATTTTTTCATCAACTTGTTTATTGTTCGGAGAACATGTAACTCGAAACTCGACCTCTTCTTATATTCAGGCACAACCTCTTGAGGAGACCCTTGTTGCGGATTGTTCAGGTCCGGCACAACTTCTTGAGGAGACACTTGTATCGGATTGTTCACTTCAGGCACGAGCTCTTGAGAAGACACTTTTTTTGGATTGTTCACTTCATTTACAACCTCTTGAGGAGACACTTGTTTCGGATTGTTCACTTCAGGCACGACCTCTTGAGAAACTTGTTCTTGAGGAGACCCTTGTTTCGAATTGTTCACTTCAGGCACGACCTCTTGAGGAGACACTTGTTTCAGATTGTCCACTTCAGGCACAATCTCTTTAGGAGACGTTTGTTCCGGATTTTTCACTTGAGGCATGACCTCTTGAGGAGACACTTTTTTCAGATTGTTCATTTCAGGCACAACCTCTTGAGGAGACACTTGTATGGGACTAGTCATATTTCTCTTCTCCTGTGCGGCAACTACAATAGCATTGAGTCTCTGATCATTTTTTGGTGAGGAGGAGGAGTTTGAAGGAGACATAGCTTGGTTAACAATTTGTTTTGTAAAACTTTGGTTGAGTTAAAGCCTTTAAAAAAAAACATTGGTTGGAGTCATCTTATCTCTTTGTTAGATTCATTGTATATAATCTGCTATTTATTGAGAGGATTCTTTATTGTTTGTTTAACTATTAAGGTATTAAACTATTAAGGTATTAAATCTCTGAGGGTAAACTGAAACCATACAAACTACTAAGTACTTATTATGCATGGATAGTTTTCTTCAATATATAAGGTTGTTTATCTTACTATCTTGATTTGTTTTCTTTTCTTTTTTCTCTAACTAGATATTTCATGTGTGAAATATATACATATATAACTTACATAAGTCAGTATTTATTTAGTCATTCAAATATCCATTATATATTAAAAAGAAACATTATAATAAATACATTCGCATCATAATTAACACGTGTCAGCTTCACAATTATTTGGCAATAAACACACACTAATTTTTTAAATTCATTATTTAATGTGTTTATACATTATTTTTTTAATTAATTCATTTTTCCTACATTTTTACCTTTTGTATTAATAAATTAAAAGTTTCTATGTGAAACTAATGAATAATATCTTTATTGTAAAAAAATTACAAAATCATTAAGTTTCGCATCAACTAAAATGTTGAGATGAAAATGTTTGTAGAAATTGAAGTTACGTACCTTGCCAAAGTTGGTCATGGTTGAGGCTTCGGTACACAATAACAACAAATAAGGTGATTGATTATGAATTAAAGAAGCTGAGGTGTGAAACACCACACGTAAAGTTGGACGTTTAATTTAGTCAAATATTAACATTTTTATAAAGTTTTCATATCAGACCAAGAATTAGAAACAAAATAAAATTGGTATAAAAAATCAGAAATCAGAAATCAGAAAAGCTTTAAAAGAAATTAAAAGAAAAAAAATCGATTAAAAACAGAATTCACGTACCAAGTGAAGATGTCACTGTATAATATATATTATTTTTATTGTTTACGGATACAATTTGATTTTCTTCATATGAAAAGATTTTATTAATTTCTAGTTTGTTTTATTTTACTTAATTTTATTTAAGAATTTACAATTATGAGTTATTTTGAACAAAAAAGTTTTAAATCTTAATTAACGTTATATTCATATATTTATCATCACATTTATATACTTTTACATATACATATATTTACATTTATTGAAGTTGAATTTTTTTTTAATGTTTTCTTTCGCTATCGCTCAAATTGTAGTGAAATGTTTTATGTTAATAATTATTTTTTCAAATATTATTTAGATTTTATTTGATTTTACATGTCTTTAGAAGTTATAATATGAAACTATTAGTTCGACATAAAAAAAATGTCTAAAATTTATAGAAAACAAAACCAAACAAATAACAATAGTTTTTGGTTGTCATCGAAAAAAATCAAAAACATCAAACATTTAAACCAAACAAACCAAAATAAATATTGATTTAGAATGAGTTATATTTTAGGAGATTAAAAAAACAACGTAAAACTGAACCAAATATTCATGCTAAACAGACATAATATCATTTTATCTTAAAAGTAACAAAAGTAATAATCTCATTCCGCGCAAGGCGCGGGTTATTACCTAATCATATGTTATATTGGAAGTGATTTTTTGTAACTAAACTCTCACGTTAAAAATTAGACCGACTAATGTCATTGTTACCCTTATATATAATTTATTTTATAATTAAAAATGAATTTACATAATAATATTAGCTATATGATATATTAGATGATTGATTATAAATTAATATGAGAATTTTCAAAATAAACACATATTTGAAAATAAGATTATTTTTATAGATATTGTGTTGTTATCTGAAAATAATATTTTCTATTACAAAAATTAAAAGTATATATATATTTTGATGAAAACTTATTCATATACAAATAATTAATGTTTGATTTAAATTTTCATAATTTATCATGATAATTTTAAACATTGATAATAATTTATCATGATGATCTTAGAGTTAATAAAACATGAATTAATAAGAACTCGTAAAATAATTATGTTTGCAGAAATAATTATGAACGAAAAATAGATTTTGTGAAATAGATTTCTGAGTGTCAAAAGATGCAGAAATAGATTTCATGGTTGTTGTTGATTTTGTGAAATAGATTTCTCAGATGCAGAAACTGGGTGATTTCAAGCTTCCTCAATTCTTCAGTTATCCTCCATACTTAACGTATACATCAATCAATCTCTCTTCTTCAAAGTTTCTTTCTTTTTGGAGATTATAGATTGATGATTAAAAAGTCTGTTATTTTTTTGTGTGTGTTTACAGTTTGCAGCCAGTGAGGGACACTCGTGAGAAGCAAATACAGCTCTGGAAAGAACTTATCTTAGACTAGTGCAAATCCCAAAAGGTCTTTTTGATCGGGGTTGAACAACACTTCCCTATCTTCCTATCTTCTCCAACTCTCCTATTGATAGTACGTTCGTCTTTTCCACTATCTTGTGCATACTGTTTTAGTAAATTGCTGGTTAGTAAGGAACTATTAAGATTTGTTCATTCGTTGTTAGGCTTCCACTGTTAAATCTTGCGGCACTTTCTGTGTGTTTCAAGATCTTTAAAAGTGTTGGTTTATAGGAACTCTAAGCCATGAAGCAAGGGAGACCTTCCTCTCAGCCATTGTTGGAGAAGGTTAGATGCCTGTGATGGATCATGGTTTACTATGAGGGAGAGCTTCATTGAGAAGAAGATGTAACTTTAAATATATGTATATATATGCATATGATGGACCTTTAGTTATTCATAATTATTAAGGATCCCATCCCATGATCTTATAGAATAGCCTACTCATACCAGAAATAATGCATATGATGATGTAGATGTCAGACCTTATATAGTTATATTCTTACATTTAGTAGACAAATTTGTTTCTAGAGTCGAAGGATGAATTTTCAATCTTACTAAAAGTATCGGAAGTCTGTTTTTTTTCTGATACATGATGTTAAAAGTAATAGGTTATAAGGCCACAACAGAAAATAGACACTGTAGCCGCTTCTGTGGAGACAACGAAACCAGCAGTAGATGTTGCACCAGCATCAGATCCTCCAAAGGTGGATTTTGCTACTGACCTCTTCGACATGCTACCAGTGGATGAGTCTACTTCAAATACCTCAGAGGCAGCTCCTGCTGTTGATAACTCATGGGCTGGCTTTCAGTGTATGTATCTTATCTAGTGCATGATCATGATCCTTGTGGAACATTTTTTCATATGCTTCTAAACTTTATGTTACTTTTTCTTCTCTAGGAAATGGTTTAGACTAATATATAAATTTCTTAATCATGAAATTATAGCGGCTGAGAAAATTGTCACAGCAAAGCCTGATGAGAGCAGTTCTCCACCAGCTACCGGAATCGAGGATTTGTTTAAAGACACACCTATTTTAACAGCCCAACAATCACCACAGAAAGATGGATGGAATGTTCACAAAACTTTGATCACAAGAGAGGGACTTCTGAATTTTTCCTTATCGTAAAATTTGTTTAAATATGAAGAACTAAAAAGATATATATACACAATCAACAATTTTTTCTTTGAAACTCTGGTATATACTGTTTGGACTTCAATTTAAAAATGAAATGCAAGTAAACACTGAAATTATATGTTTATTTGAAAAAAAAATATAACATGTAAACATAAAACAAAACGATCAAACAAAACACAAAATTCAAACAAAAACGATCAAAGTTGTAGTTAGTTACACCAAACTATGTCAAGTATGCTTTATTGTGTTGACCAAACTTGATAGTTGCTTTGCTTATGTAAAGTTGGGTACGTACGATTGCATTTTGGAACTCAGCAAAGAAAACAAACGGTTCGAGAACCCGTTCAAACAGAAAGTTATCAACCTTTATTGGTAAGATCAATAAAGGCGACGTGTTGATGTTGAACTTGTTAATGGACGGCTGTTTTAGCGTTTCAAAAGGTTTTAGTTTGGCATTGTATGGGCTTTCGGTCAAATGGCTTGATAAAAGTTCATTCTCCTCTCCTTCACCACAAGTTTATGTAACTCCCTCTCGCCAACCTTTGTTTACCTTTTTTCTTTTTCTTTTAAACTGTCATGATCGTGAACCAATTCAAATTGTAGATAAGACCATATTTTATCAATGTTTGATTCTTGAATAACCTTTTATATAGTAACAAATTTAACAGCTCAAAGAGCACGCACGGGCTAGTTAAGTCCGGCCACATGATAAAGCAAACTTTTAAATGCCTTTTGTTCAAATCCTCTATTTACTATTTTAAGATAAACTCTAATTAAGTTGTACACTTCAATAGTTGATATAGTTTTCTTAAAAAAAATTTCATTTTAGGTCTGTCGACCTCAGTTTGATAAAACACGTAATATGATAATAAATGCAACACAGGTAGGATACACGTCCGACTTTAGCCTTATTCATTTGGTTGTTTAAATATATAGATATGCATTCATTTTAAGTTCTGTAATATGGATATACTCAACACTCTTCAACCAATAAGAAGAAGAGGATATACACAACATATGGCTATATGCATTCAAAAAACAAGATCAATCATTTTCAAGCAAAAGACTCCAAAATGGTCGGTGAATTTTTGTTGACCTGTAATGCGATATAAATCTTTCATTGGTTTGAATTGTCAAATCAAAAATAGTCATAAACTATGCATAGGCAGGCGTGTTATGCAAAACAAAATTGAACACTAGAATTGAGAATGAACGTATGAATATCCATCTCAATTATTTTGTTTTTAGATCTGCATGTCTGTATATGAAGCATTGTTCACATAAATTATAACTCTCATCCTCACTCTGACTTTCAAACTATTAATTTTATAATGTCAATGAAATATGGCATATTTATGACCATATATTTTGTAATATTAATCGTTTATTTCTGTTTTTTTGCTTGAAGTTAAACCATACCTATCATTACAACAAGATTTGACAATAAATGTAATAATATTTCCTGAAGTTAAAAGACTCACAATCATCTTAACTTTTGTTGCTAAGTGAAAAGAAAAATCAACGCTACGACTTGGTACGTACTTAGTAGAATCTCTCGTATGTCAATTTTATAATCTTTAAATGCCATATTATTACATTTATTGTCAAATCTTGTTGTAATGATAGGTATGGTTTAACTTCAAGCAAAAAAAACATCAAACCCAAACCGCCACGTGTTACTCAGACAAGCCTCCATAACCATACCTTGTGTAAAGGTCCCACTTGTGATTCTGTCAAAGCCATTCCAACAAGGACCACATTTAAATTTAAATAGCCATTTTATTTAATATATATACACACACACCTCACCTTCTTTGTAGATAATAATAAGATCATCATCATCACCATGCAGCTTCTCCTCCCTACATCTTCTTTCAAAACAAAAGCCACCGTCTTAATTTCCGGCGTCCTTTCTTTTGCGGCGGCGGTGAGCTTCACCATCCCATCCGTTTCCCATTTCGCGGCGTCTTGCTTCCCCATCATTTACGATAACACCGTCTTCCTCCTTAAACCACCGTATCTTTACCTAGTTATCAACATTATCATTCTCTCCATCTTCGCTACGTCTAAACTCACACATAAATCATCTTCCAGTACTGACGATTCTGATACGGTACTACCGTTACCTACTTATATCGACACTGGTTATCTAAACGTGCCTCACGTCCTCGCTTCTGACTATACCGGAGAGAATGACGCGATGGTATCAGATCATGTCCACGAAGTCATCGCTGATGATAAGGTGATAGAAGAAGTTCAAGAGACAGAGACGGAGAAACCAATAATAACGAGTAACGGTTCACCAGAACCGGAGACGGATAAACCAAAACCGGAAGATGGTTCGCTGGAGATTCCGGTTTTAAAGAACACGAGGAAACCACCTAGGTTCGGTCGGCAAAAGTCGTTTAAAGGTAGTCAAGAAGGAAAGAAGTCTGCGTTGGGAGTGACGAAGCCACCGAGGAGGCAGGACACACTTGAGACGACGTGGAAAAAGATAACGGAAGGACGCTCGCCGCCGTTAGCGAAGCACTTCAAGAAAGCTGACACGTGGCAAGAAAGGTCGAAGGAGAAGATATTGACAAAGTCTGGGAGCTTAAAACGCGAGGCTTCACCGGGTCAGGAGGAGCTGAACCGGCGCGTGGAAGCGTTTATCAAGAAGTTCAACGAAGAGATGAGACTGCAAAGATTAGAATCTTTGGCTAAGTATAACGAAATGGTGGTAAATGGAGGGACTCGTTTGTAAATAAATATTCGTGTTTTTTCTTTTCTTAGCTGTCGGAGAAGAGGACGGCACCGGCACAGTCGCAAATGCTGACTCTTTTTTTTTTTTTAGAACCACTAAAATGGTTTTTATTTTTGTCTTCATGGGGAAGATAAAAATGTGTGTATGATTGTTGTATTTATATGCATTCAAAAAATCACATTATTCATGTGGTTTTAAATGAATGACAATATGTAAACAGAGACTAGACTACTAGTGATTGAATCCATTGTTTGTCTGGTTTATAAAGATTTTACATTCTATAGACAATATTACTATTTTTGTCATAGGAGGATCAGGATTACTAGATGGGAAGTTTGCTGCAGCAGCACGAGGAACAAAGTTGTTAAAGAAAATGTAATATTGTAATACCTCAAGGAGATTGAGACCATTACAATAGCCAAAACGGATGCAGCTACTTCTAATCCTTGTCCTATTTGTCCATAGGCTTTTTCTGGCGAAAAAAGAGGTAAGGTTGTTGCTAATCCCAGTCTACGTTTTTTATTTACTACAGTAAAAATGATTTAACAACTCGACAGCTATTTGCCCTGTTCGTTTGGTTGCCGCAGGTTTCGGCGTCGGCGTCAGCGTCGGCGTCGGCGGCAGCGTCAGCGTTAATGACAACAGTTGTTGTTCGTTTAGCAGACGCTGACGCTGCCGCCGACGCTGCCGCCGACGCCGACGCAAATTTTTGTTCGTTTATAAGACGCAGGTAATTGACGCAGCCGCAGACGCCGACGCAGGAAACAAGTTTTTGGATTGTTCGTTTGACAGACGCTGCGGCTATTTTTAATTTTTCAGATTTTTTTTTATAAAATTTTGTAAAATTGTATTTAAATAAATAAAAATGTAGTTTAAATATATTTGCATCCATTAAAAATATTATTTTCACTTGGTAATAATTTTTGGTCAATTATACAAATGTAACAATATTTTTTCATACACTATAAGCTAAATTAGAAAAAATAATACTTCAAAATATGTATCATAATAAAAGCCAAAAATATTACATAAGTTGGTTGTTAAAAAGAAAATACATAAGTCTTAAATATCGCATTTATATGATAATCAAAGTTGTAAGCAAAAGAAACTAAATCATTAACTCAAACATTTAATACGGTAAACGACCTCTACCATATTCATTTGTGATGTTATCACGCAAATCTTCCATCGCTCTATCACCTGTTGGCTCATACACAATATGTCCAGCACCACCACCACCTCCACCACCACCATCATCATCATCGTCATCACCTTCTTCTTCATCACTGTCACTATCAGCTACTTCTCCTTGTCCATCATCACCATTTTGCCACTGTACAAAATCATGATCTTCCCGATGTGAATCACGTATGAAGTTGTGTAGCGCCATCGTCGCTGTCACCAACTTAATCCACTTGACCAACTCATACTTTGGATGTTTGCGATCCAACATCCTTCATTTTGCTTTCCATACTCCAAATGTCCTCTCAATCACTGATCGCAGACCTGAATGCTTTCGGTTGAACAACTCTCTTGCACTAACTGGTGGTCCTCCTGTAGCAAATTGACCAAGATGATATCGCATATTACGATGCGGACCAAGATACCCTGTCCTGGTCGGATTAGGCCTCAGTTGATTTATTATAAAAGGTCCTCGAGGATGTGGAAAAGAAGCCTCGTTTCTCGCACAATGAGTCAAGACCTTCGTATCATGTGCTCTACCAGGTACACCGACATATGCATATATGAACTTCATGTCGAAGTTACATATAGCAAGAACATTCATTGTAGGATCTTGCTTTCTGCCTCTGAATGCTTCTGCCTCTGAATGATTTAACAACTCGACAGCTATTATAGAGTTCTGATTTGAACAGACACTAACCTGAGCTCTGCTTTTGCCAGACCCAAATACACCTATATGTTACAACAACATTAAAAACAGGCTAGGAAAGAATTAGAACATGACACTAAGATTCTAATATTTCATACTAATATAACCAAGTGTCAGAGCCAGAACACTGAGTGTACATGGAGAAAGACTTGTCACCCAAATATTACTGCCAAACTACAACAGGGATAAATTAGGAGAGTCAGAGAACTCGATTGTCAGAAATGTGTGCATTCAAAAAGAACCAGAGAAATTACACTGAGAGCTGAAAGCTGATCCTGAACAGCTTCATTAGCTTGTTGGTTAGCTGAGTACAACAAGTTTCCAAGCGAATCTCCCAGGGTTCCTTCAGCCAAGCAATAAACGGAAGTGGCTTGATCCTGTCTTAGGAAGAAATTAGTTTCTCTATTAGAGAAGCAATGGAATCAAATTAGTTTCTCTATGGCATAGGGAAGAAAATTTTAGAAGGGCATATTTTAGTTGTATATGTTTTTGTTGTCAGTGAGACACATTTTAGTTTTTTTTTTCTTTTTGCTTTTTACAAATAATTAAGGTTTGTAAGGTTTTCTTTGCTAAAATAATACTTGTGGGAATAATTAATCAGAATAACATTTGTCGGATCTTTTAGCAATATTTATACACATGTCTTAACAAATATATTTGTTAATTTCTATTTTAGATTACAACTAAAACCCTAATTAAAAGTTAGTTACTAAATAGTTTTTCGTGTTGGCTCTTTCTTTTCCGCCATTTTTCCAATTTATTTTCTATTGCTTCAATTCTTAGATCATAATCTTCATATTGACGAGCGATACGTGAATAATTTATTAATTTCCAACTTTTTATATAAAAACTAGAAAATTGTGATGAGAGCAGTATCACGTGTTGACATTATTTGACGAGCGATACGTGAATAATTTATTTATTTATTTTTTTTTTTTGATCAAAACGTGAATAATTTATTAATTTCCAACTTTTTATATAAAAACTAGAAAATTGTGATGAGAGCAGTATCACGTGTTGACATTATTAGGAGTTATTAAGAGTTTGCTCTTCTTTTGTGTTCACCAGTCTTAATGATACTGAGTTGAAACTGTTATTTTCTGAAAACTTGACTACATAAGTTAAGTAGTGATTTGAAGGAAAAGATGCAAAAAGATCGATATTTCGTGAATAAATATTTCCTATTCTATTATTTTTGTTTCCTTACAATTTGTGAAACTTGATTGTTTAATGGAAGTTTTTTTTTTTATTACTTCTGTTATCTGATTTTAGATTATATATATACTAGATGATTTTCATGTAATTAATAATTAATTAATTTTTAATTAATATATATCATTATAAGAAATATTAGTTATATTCATTTATTTAGAAATTTTATCTTTTTTGAAAACATATATATATATATATATATATATATATATATATATCATATGTAAATAGTGTTTAGTGTTTAAATAATATATTTTATTTTAGGTATATATGCAATCTAGGTTTAAAAATTTCATTGATTTACTTATTTGTTTTTGGTGTTTACTGAGTTGAATTTTTACTACAAACTGTTTGAATTTTAAATAGCTAAAATCATATTAATGTTATTAACATTTCATTTTTATTTTAGATTTGTAAATACATCTTTGTAATTTTTGTCATTTATTATGTATCCTTTTGATAAAATATTAAAAATAATTAAAAATTGTATTATTTGTAGCAACTATATTTAATTTTTTGAATCTTGACAAACATAATTTATTAATTCTTATTAGTTATTTAGTTTAAAGTTAGTTGTAACATTAAGAAGATATTGAATGATCAATATATAAAGCAGATGGTTGATGGTTGATTTATATTATTAAAAATATTTTTTTTCTACTTTAATCTTTTGATCTAAACATATATATAGAAAATATTTTTGGTTGTTTTAATTTATTATTTATTAGATTATTTAAGGTAAAATATTTTAGAAATTATCTTTTTGAAAAATATATATTCATTATTAGTTATTAAATAAAATATCAAAATTATATATATATATATATATATATATATATATATATATAATTTCCATATATTAGTAGTTTAAGCAAACATTATGATAAAAAAGGAAATTAAGAGCAAAAAATTATGAAACAAAAAGGAAAATAAAATAAAAAAATTATAATAAAATTATGCATGATATTTTTAATTCATTAAGAATACTTTTGTAAATGACTACTCTAAAATTAACATGAGAATTACACATAAGAAACTGACTGTTCAAATAATATTATAGAAATATAAATGTATAATTTTTTTGAATTGGCTTAGGACATTATAATATGTTAAACCAGCACTGCTTCCACATCCAGCTCAGTGTTCATCACTTCACTTTGGACATGAGCTCCTCAAATTTCTTCCACCGGTACATTACTGTGTCCTCCGAGCTCGCCACTTTTGATTTCAGATTCTCTATCGCAGCCTCTTTCTTAGTCATTGCCGAGACATTTTACAAACTATAGACTGAATGCTGTTTAGGCCCACAACGATAATTGTATCTCTTTCAATACTAAATGCTGTTTATAGACATTCTCTATCGCAGCCTCTTTCTGCTCTCTAGGCCCACAACGATAATTGTATCTCTTTCAATACTAAATGCTGTTTATAAACTATAGACTGAGGAGAAATATCTTTGTGCTTTGCTGCTTATTAACGGGCCTGGATATTTTGAAATGCTGTTTTAAGCTCACAATACTGCTATTCTAAAAGATGACAATTTCTTTTTTGTAATGAAATATTACTACTTTCACTAATTTTAAAATTTTATTTTTATTTATTTGTTTGAAACAAATATTCGATTCATAATATATAAATATTCAGATACAAAATATTTGGTCGGATGGTGCTGGAATAAATCAAATTATAAAACTGATAATTCGACCCAAACAAATCATATCACAAATACTTATATTTTCAAAATTCAGATAGTTGATATGTGCCATGCTTTGGAGAAATTTCTGCTCATAGTTTACCTGCCAAAATTCCACCTTTTGTAAGTTTGATCTCTCAGAGGAAGCATGTTGCAGAATTCAAAAGTAACTAAATGCTCCTTTATGGTTTTAGATATCTCTCATATTACCTTGGGTATATCTCCCACTATAATGCTCTTCATCTCATTAGAGGATCCATAAACCCTATATGAAAATCTAATTAACCTTTTCATGCAANTTCAAAAGTAACTAAATGCTCCTTTATGGTTTTAGATATCTCTCATATTACCTTGGGTATATCTCCCACTATAATGCTCTTCATCTCATTAGAGGATCCATAAACCCTATATGAAAATCTAATTAACCTTTTCATGCAAATCTCAAGATACAAAGGATATCATATTGTTATTTACCATCCAGTCCTAAAATCCATCGTTTT